TTGCAGAGGGAAGGGAGGGTCCTTTCTCCCTGCCGGGCTCCCACTTGTGCCCCCGCAGCCCCTTGCATGCAGAGACTTGCTGACTTTCGCCTCTGGATTTTTGCTGAAGTTTTCTTTGGGCCCAGTACAGCTCTTAGGCAGGACTCCTCTACCTTGGCCCTTGAAAAAACTCCAGTTTGTTTCAATTTATCATTTGCCTGAGTATAGCAAAAGGAACCTGGCTCGGGTTTCATCACACAGCTCTCCAGCTGCACAAGTTGTTCATCACAGGAGCTAAAATTGAAGCTGTACTATTTGGACCTTTTTCTTTCTTGTTTTTTCCCCTCAAACTCTTAATTATGGCTTGTTGTGAAGTTGTGTGTCTGTTCATCCTTTTCATTTGTCTGGAGGGTGTAATTCCTGATTTGGATGGTGCTCCTTGGACATAACGCTCATTAGTAGTTTTGGACATTTAATTTGTTTTACTTTTCAAGCAAATTCCGCTCTTGCTCTAAAGCAGTGTGGAGGTGGATGCCAGTTGGCAGCCTCTTGGGTCACACTCCCCAAAGGAGCTGGGAGATGGGGCTGCCTTGCTTGGGGTGGGTGCATCCATGGAATGTGGTCCAGTGAGTGCTGGTGGGGCTCACCAGGGAGCAATCCACTTTTGGGGTCTTCTATTCCATCCCACCATCCCAAGCTGGCTCCTCCTGTGTGCACCAGTGCAGGACAGGATCCCTGGGTGCCTCCCCTGTGGTGGGAGCTGTGAGTTCAGCACATGGCCTCGGGGTTAAGGGGCAAACTGCATCCACTTGGAGCGGCATCTCTAGCCTGCCCTAAAATCTGAATTTCCCAGGCAGCTCTGGAGCATGTGCAATGTTCTCCAGAGCTGCAGGCAGGAATAAAGGGTTTAGCTGGATGCACCAGAACTCAGCTCCTCTTTGGGGCACCACAAACGTGTGCATGGCACTTCCTGCCTTCGCTCACACTCAGTGACTGAGTCGCTGCTTTTCCCCCCAAAACCTTAACTTCAATTAACCCCTCCTGCTTCTGGGGGATGCTGGTGGCAGCAGAGGGGGGTCCAGGCAGGGCGGTGTGGGGCTGGCAGGGGCAGGGGGACGGCTGGGGTGCTTCAAAGCACAGGGGCTCAGCGGCCGAGCGCGGCCCCAGCCGAGCTCGCGGGGAGCGCGTTTCGCTATTATTTCAATTATTACAACTTCCTGAATAGGTCGAAGGTCGTTCATAATTCACGCTTCTGTCATCTTTACACATGCCAAATGCAGTCTATTAAGCATAAATAAAATTTCAAGTGCCTGACCAGGAAAAGTAAACTGGGATTCATAACAATGAGGCCTTATTCATCCATTTAAAAGTGAATTGTGTGTGTTCCTTTTTTTTTTTTTTCCCCTCCCCTTTCCCTTTATGGCGTTGCAGTTTGGGAGCTTTTATTTCTGCTCGGTAGCACAGATCTCTGACCTGCAGTGTGGGTGTGGGCAGGCACAGAGCACTGATGAGCCAGGCCTCCCCCAGCTTCTCCCCATCTCAGACACCCTGAACTTTGAAAGTGTTTCCAGACCTGAATCCGATTTTGCTCTTCCTACATAAACTGTAGTCACACACCGTTGATCCCAGGGCATGTGAAATGAGCATCTGGACTTTGCTTTTAATTTTTTTTTCTCCCCCTCCTCTGGTTGTTCCTCTCCTGTGCAGAAGCTCTTCCTTGACTTGTTCTCAAGCAGAGCCCAGTGCAGGTTAACCCAAAAAAGTTGGTTAATGGAGCAGCATCAGTCAGCTGGAGAAATAATAGCCAGAAAATTGAAACCTTTCATTAATTACAGTAAAGTCAGGACTGTGTGCCAGAAATCTTCAAGCTTTGCAATTGAAAAATCCACTTATTTTACGATAGCATTTCCTAATACAAAAAATACTGCCCGTGGTAGAGGTGCTGTTCTTGCAAAACACAGGCAGCCCAAGGGGCACCTGTGGAGCTGGGGGGAGTTTGTGAGGTTCCCCATCTGGGGGTTGCAGGACCTCCCCCCTCCCTGCCTGCCCTCAGTCATCTGCTGCTGCCTCAAAATTCAGGCAGTGTGGTTCATTTCTACATCAGAATAAATTTACCTGCATGATCGTTTTGGTTTAAACTTAAATATGTTTTACTTTAGATTCTCACGGCAATGTAAATTTATGTATAAAGGGTTAGGTGAATTTTTTCTGTATATATAGAAATTTTTAAAATTATTTTTAATAATAATTAAAGTTAAGTCTCTAGTGATGTGAAAATACCAGAGCTGGAAATCTGTCACTCAGCCTTTGTTTTGGAGAATGTTAGAAGCGAGATGCAAAGTAAAGAAGCATTGCTCATCTTAAAAAATTGAGTTTTTTGAAACACTCATCTTGTTTCCCTGCTGAGGGACAGAGAGGCTGGCCAGACAGTTTCTGGTAGGTAGCTGGATCAGTTTTGGATTTTTGAACACCAGTGCAGACAAGACAGCTGGCTGCAGAGTCTGCTCCTGCCTGGGGCTGTGTCCCACAGCTGCAGGAAAGATGCTGCACCGTCCTGGGCTGCCCCCAGAGAAGCGATGCTCCCCAGCACAGCGCCTGTGAACAAGACCCTCTTTATGCCCCAGCCCATGTGTCCTCCCTCTGTGCTGAGAGGTGAAAAGGTCTGTCCAGACACCTGTGATGGGACAGGGAAAACACCAGAGAAGGCTCTGCTGTGGTTTTTGTTCGCTCCTTGGTGTGGGTACAAAACCATCCCAGGAAGAACAGCGGTGTTTACCTGACTGGGAAACAAAACCTGTGAGAAGAAGCAAGTCCTGGGCAGAGCAGAAGCTTTGGCACAGTCCCTCTGGGATGGTGGAAGTCCTTCTGTCTCCTGGCTGTGTGCTGCTCCTTCTGTGTCCTGTCCTTCTGCTTCCACCCCAAGATGGAGGTCTCCAGAAGTCTCTTCAGTCAGTGTGCACACGTCATTATTCCACACATTATTTTCACCCCAAACCAGCCAGCAACTGGGCCTATCTTCCACAGATCCAACTGCAGCTTACCTTTCAGATATGCAGAGGCCGTTACACTTCTGGAATTAAAAATCCGCTTTTCAATACGTCCGTCGTAACAAAGGGAAAACCAAGTATTGCTTGCAGCAAATATTCACTGGATGTGGCACTGTCACCGGGTTTATTTGCAGGAGGCAAAAGCTGGCTCCATTTAAATGTGGTTTGGCCTTTGATGGGATGAGCTGTGTTGCCTCAGTGCAGCCCCAGCACGCTGAAGCCCACCAGGCAGCCCTGTATCCTTTGGCACTGACAGCACCATTGGATCCTCAGGGGATTGTGGTACCAAATACTTTCCTGGCTGCATGAAGGGATATTCACAGGACACTGCCAGGCTCTCTTGGCCTCCATAACGCTCGGTGGAGTTTGAAATCCCCTCGACCAGAGATACAAATGGGAAGCCCAAACAGCCCAGGATGGTGGTTCGAGGAGGGAGGGTGGATCACACTGCCCATAAACCCCTTCTCCTGTTTTTTATGGGGAAAACTGACCACAAGCAGGGGGTTGTGGCACTGGTACCTCGTGCCTGATGCGTTTTGCCAGCACTTCTGTCACCTGGTGAGGGGTGAGCCCCGGAGTGTGGGATGAGCAGCCTCCACTGCCACTCCCTGCACTGTCCTCTGCAGCAGCTTTTGGGACAAACTGCAGGAAAAACCCCTCCAAATCTGAGGAAATGCATCCAAATTCGAGATTTTTTGGTATTTAGCCCATTTAGTGGGCATGGCTCGTGCAGGCAGAAAGGATTAGGCTGTACGGCCACCTCCTGGAGGACACCGGTATGTGCTGGCTGCCGGTGGGCGATGCTCTGCGTGTGCCTGGGCAGGGACAGCAGCACCCTGGGTGACAGTCCTCGTGTGACCCGGCAGGGAAGGTACCCACGAACCTCCAGACACCTGTCCCTGCCTGTGACAAACTCATCTGTGGGACTTGGATCACTGGAGGTGATTTGCTGCCTCTCTCCCCGTGCACTGCAATGAGCGTTGAGTTTGGGAGCAAACCTTTTAAAAATGCTGAGAAAAAGCAAAGGCATCATTTTTTTAACGTAGGAAACATAGCTGTCATGTGGTTTTGTTTAACAAGGCCCGAGGAAGTTACTAATATTTATTTGAGCTGCTTCATGGAGCTTTTTAGTGCTCTTCACATTTCCTGCTGAGACAGAAAGCAGCCAGATGGATTTTGGGAATTTCCTTTCAGCAGAGTCTGGTGGTGCTGGCGTGTGCTTCTCTGGTGCATGGACCCAAGGGAGGGTGTCCCCTTTGCCCTCCCCTACAGCCTCCTGCCACCCCAAAGGGCTCTTTCCCAAGCCCAGCATCACCTGTATGAGGGGCCAAGGTGTCACCAGCCAGGGCCACCACCAGCAGCTTTGGCTGCTCATGGTGTTTCTTCCTCCAGGACTGAATTTTCCCTTGGTTTCCATTTGAAGCTAAGGAATAGCCAGGTGCACTGGTTCTTGCAAGCTTCTCTCCTCACAGCTTTTTTGGACTGTGTGGATGGTTGGAATGGAGGGCTGGATGCCTGTGGCTTAACCAGCAGCATCTCCTCGTGTCTGCTTTAGAATTATAGAAACATCAAGGTCAGAAAAGACGTCTAAGATAACTGAGTCCAAGCATTAAAGTTACTTTAGTACCTTTTCCCAGTGCAACAGGAGTTCCTTCTCTTACCAGGATAACTCAGGGATGTGTTTTATGGCTGCTCTGTACTTTGGTTTGGTATAACTCAGCAGACAAGTTGCTGGTGATATCTGCAGTCATCACACAGCTCATTTTGCAGCAGAGGCTGTTGAAAGCAGTCCTTTTTATTCTCACAGAGCCCAAAACACAACAACTTTTGGCCTGGAAGGAGCAGACTTACCATGATCATCATGAGGGGGTAGGCTCTGGCCACGAGGTCTGCCACACTCACCAGCAGGGGTTGGTGCTTCTTTGCCTGTTGTGGTGCTTACCTTGCTTTTTCTTTCTATTTTTTTTTTCCCAGATATTCTACAGAGTGGTAGCAGATATTGAACCAGGAGAGGAGCTCTTACTGTTCATGAAGAGTGAAGATTATTCACATGAAACAATGGCTCCGGACATCCACGGTTAGCCTCTTCTTACTCTTTCATCGGGCAGAAAGTATCACTGAAATTAACCCAGAATTTAGGAAGACTTCTTCTTCTGTTGAAACATGGGATGGCTTCACTGCAGCCAGAGAGGACAGCTGGACTGTGGTTGCATTTGTCCATCTTCTGCCTTTCTGTTCCTGATTGAAACTTGATTTTTTTGTGGGGTTGCAAAAGAAGAACAGCAGTCCGTGTCCTCAAGACTGTGCTGCTCCTGCAGGACACATATGGGCCCTGGTTATAGATCATTTTTTGTCATTTAGCCAAACAACTGTGACCTTGAAAAGAGGAAATCTGAGGTTGTCAATGTTGCTGTCACTTGTGAGGGCATCTCAGCCTTTCTTGCTCCTCGCACTTGTCCTTTACTCATCCCACACACAGATTCTTCCTCTCAAACTCCTGAGTTGTTGCTGTCCCCCTGTCCCCAAAATCTCCTTCAGCTGTGCTGCCTGTTGGGCAGTGGGTTATCAGCCACAGTGGGGACTGGGTGTGGGATATCTGCTTAATGCCCAGCATGTTGCAGTTTATGGCCAGAGGGACATTTTACAAATTTTCAGGGATTCAGGGACAATGAGCAGGGCAGAAATTATCAAGGCCTCTCCTTTCTTGTAACTGCTTGTACATTCTTGTTCTCTTAAGAAAAAAGTGGGGATTATACATTCATTCCCATTAGGTTTTGTGCTGTTTTTTTCCCCCAGTGGTAACTTTGTTGAGTTACTGCTGAAGGTATCCCCCTGTCCAGCACACTCTTCTCCCTGCCTAGTCCCCATGGTCAAGTAGCTATTGTACAAATGACACAGAGGAGATCTCTGCAGTCACATGCAGGATCATGTCCCACAGGGCTAATTTAGAAGCAGACTGAGCCAAAGTGTTGCTCGTGGACAGCCAAGAGCAGAGCCCCATGACACTTTCTCTGGATCAGCTCAACTGTCAAGTAGCAACCAAGAACATTCATTGGGGATTCCAGCCAGTGCCTTTCTGACTCAGAGCCTCAGGGCATTTATATCTGGAACCAAACCAGGGTGTCTGGCTCCTTGTATGGACCAACACTAGAAAATACAACAGAAAAAAACCCATTGTGGGATGCTCTTCTCCAAGTTTGTTTTTTGGGGATTTTCTTCAGCTAATGTATTCTTTTGTGGGAATTGCTAGTTAAGGGAATGCTGATACTCTACACTTTCCAGCAAGAAATTATGACCAGGTTTTTGGAATTCAAAGCAAAGAATTTAACTTCATGCATCTCTGGCTTACTTTGAGCAGGGCTGGGTGCTACAGAAGGACTGATAAAAATTAAGAGTCTTTAAAAAACTCTAAACACCCTTTTGGCTATTTTAGATGCTGGTGTTTGTGTCTGAGTCAGTCCCTTTCATTGAGAAATGCGCAGACTGGCAGCTTCTGCTGGATATCCATGTTAGACCCTGTATAATTCCATTTAGGATGGCATTTAAACACTTGTCCTTGGTATTTAAACTTTTGTCCTAAGCCAGTGTTAGGGATTCCTGTTGGATATCACCCAGGCAGTTAACAGGGAATCAAAGCCTTATTATAAAACATTCTTAGGAATCCTTCTTTCTTTTGAGGTTCTTCTCTTTTTTTTTTTTTTTTTTTTTTTTTTTTTTGTATTGAGGAGCAATTCGTTAACCACACCATCATCCAGCTTCTGGTGGGGTGGTGGTTAAAGGTGAGTGAAAACTGAGCTGGTGTCCCTGTGCCCACCCCTGTGTGTTGCAGAGGAGCGCCAGTACCGCTGCGAGGACTGTGACCAGCTCTTTGAGTCCAAGGCTGAGCTGGTGGACCACCAGAAGTTCCCCTGCAGCACACCTCACTCCGCCTTCTCCATGGTGGAGGAGGACTTCCAGAAGAAGCTGGAGAACGAGAACGACCTTCAGGACGTGCACGAAATCCAGGAGTGTAAGGAGTGTGACCAAGTCTTCCCAGACTTACAAAGGTAGGAGAAGGTGCTTAAAAGGTGGTGGAGTGGGGCAGGTTCTGTGGTGGTCTTGTTCACTGGCTGATGTTGGGTGTTCCACGTGTCTGATTTTCAGTCTGAGGGATTGGTTCCAAGGGGCTGATGGAGGCAGATCAAGTCAGAAGAATTGCCTGGGTGAGGCAGGACTCTGGTCTGTGAGGTTTTTGCATGTTGGGAGTTTTTCAGTGTTAAAGTTCTTTTCTCCCTGCGAGTGAGAGGACGATATCTAACATATGGGAATCATTGAGGAAATGTAAATTTAGCTTAAAATATTAAATATTGAAGAGAAAAGGCAGAAAACAAAGAACGAGTCATCATAAATAGATGGGCAGTACTGTGAGAAAGAGTGAAAAATGAGAGTGAATGCAGCCATTCTCTGAACTTCTGAATTATTGAAAGGCTCATACACCACACAGACAGTTCACTGCAAAAGGTGCCAAAGTGTGCTATATCCAGATTACATAAAACAAAGGGCCTAAACGAGCTGTGCTTGAGGGTGTGAGTAATTAGATGGAGAAATAGCTGAGCAGGAAGGTGGGGATGTTGGGTCCAGGAGTGCCCAGTGTGGATGTCCCAGTCCGGGAGCTGGTGCCACACCAGGGACAAGAATCTCTTTGGGTCTTACGGCAAATTTGTTTACATGATGGAAAGTCAATTGTTATAAAAATATTAGGAAGAGAAGCCAGAATTGTTTTTTCCCCCACAAAAGAAGAAGAGGGGTAGAAGTAAGAGCATCTGCAGAGTGAAAGCATTTCCATTGCCTGTGGCTGAGAATGGAGGTTGCTGTTTGGGCTACACAACCCAAACAAGGCTGTAACCCCAGCAGGTTTGGTCACTGATTCAGCAGAGGTCAGTGGGAACTTCATGTGAAAACAGTTTAGTCATCCCAGGCTAAAATTCCCACTTTCCAGTGGGTTTTCTATGAATCCACTCTTGCATTATGTAGTGATCTTCCCTCGAGCAGTGGTGTGAGTTATGACTCTATATGTGACCAAGCAATACAGCTGTTTAAAAATACATATTTGCTACAAATGAATGATAAAAATTCAGAGACAAAATTTAATTTAAAGATGTGCAACAGAATTTAGGTGGACATTGAATATCCTAATAATAGACTGAATAAACCACTAAGAAATGAATGACTAAACAACCACACAATTGCACATCATTAATAATCATCAAGAATAACTTCAGTTGTGGTGTACCTTACCTAGAGGCTTCTTAAACTCGTCCTGTCCTACTCCAGAGGAGTTATTCCTCATTTATTCCTGCTGTAAGAAAAATTGACTCCCATCAAAGGAGTGGATTTATAGCAGGTGGTGGCATCCAAGGTGTGTTTAGAGGGAAAGTCATAAGGCAGAAATAATTCAGACTGCAGGGAAGAATTACCAGAGTGAAATAGTGAGAGGTGTATGAAATAATCTCCTTGGGGAGCGATGGCAGCAGCATCTCCTGGAGCATTTGCAAGTGGCCTGGCAAAACATGAGAGGATGTGTTATTCTGGTGGGGAGAGGAGTTCTGCCTCCTGGCTGGGGTGAGCCTGGAACTCACAGGACTTATTTCTGTCAGGACTGGGCTGTTGGGGCTTTTTAATTTTCTTTCTTTTGGCTGTAACTATGTGCTCTGCTCTCTCCTCTTCCTATAAATCCACGTCTCACTGAGCCCTGTTCCTGTTTCCACAGCCTGGAGAAGCACATGCTGTCACACAGTGAGGAGAGGGAGTACAAGTGTGACCAGTGCCCCAAAGCTTTTAACTGGAAGTCCAACTTGATACGTCACCAAATGTCACACGACAGCGGGAAGCACTACGAGTGTGAGAACTGTGCCAAGGTACAGTGAATTTTTAGGCTGCCTGGCACTTCTTGTGCTGCTGGATGCAGGGGAGCCTGGAAGTGAGGGTTCCCCAGGCTGGGATGCAGGAGGGCATAGGGCTTCTGCCGTGCTCCACATGGTTTCTCAAGGGTTTTAATTTCTACTTTGAAAATACGTTCTTTTTATTTCCTTTTTGATTTGGAAATGCTGTGGAGTCTGAAATGGGCACCAATGGAGGATGCTGAGCATTCTTGAGCTCAGGGCTTGGCTCCTTGCAAAGTTTGGTGGGGTGTAAGAGGGTCAATGAGGGACTAGAACACACAGGGAATCACAGGGCAGAGGATTCCCTAGGCTCTGTGCCAGCTGCTGGGACCAGCAACTTCAGGACACTACTGCAATATAAATCAAAAATAAGTACAATGAGTACAATGAGTACAACTCTCATCTCTAAAGCATCTCCATCACTTCCCAGCACTGGGCTTGCTGTGGGGATTATTTGTATAGTATGTGGTACTCTGCATTTACTTTTTATCAGATTTCCAAAGCTTGGCCTTTTTGGCATGAGGACTTAATTGTTTTTAGGTAGATTTGCTTCAATATTGGGAATTTCATATTGAGCTGACACTTGTAAGATGTTTCTAGCTCTGAGTTGTGCACAGGATTACTTGTCACACACTCAGGTGTCAGTATAAAGTATTTCTATTGCAATAACGCTTAGAGGTTTCAAGCAGCCACATTTTCACTCATTTCCCCTAAATCTGTGCCCTCAAATGTGCAATTTCTAACAGCAAAGTCAAATGTTTCTGCTGCAAAGGGATGAACAGACCCACACAATACTTGGGTGATCCAGGGAAACTGAGGCCCCTTCCTGCAGGCACAGCTCCCATTTCTGGCCTTTAGCAAGGGTTTTAACCTTAGAATACTCCCAGAAATAGCTCCAAGGTTTGAATTTTAAAAGACTCTTGTAATAACTGGCTTCTTCCACAGTCAAGTTTCTTGGTTAATCAGTACTCATTTCCTAGCAGGTTTTCACGGACCCCAGCAACCTTCAGAGGCACATTCGTTCCCAGCATGTGGGGGCTCGTGCTCACGCTTGTCCAGAGTGTGGCAAAACCTTTGCCACTTCTTCAGGCCTCAAACAGCATAAACACATCCACAGCAGTGTCAAACCTTTTATATGTAAGTCTTCAACTAAACGTCTTTGATTAAGTGTTGTTTCTGTTGCCGTGAAGCAGCGCAGTCTGGAAGCAGGAGGTTGTGTTCTGCCCCCTTTGAGCTCCCCACCCGTGCCACAAGGGCTGGGAGTTACTGAATGAGTTCTGGGTAATTTGTGGTCCAGTTCAAGGAGTTATTTTCATGTGATTTTCCTTTTCAGACAGACACTGTGTGCTGTGTAAATGTACCTGTTGTCCTGGGGATGTTTTTCCACGCACAGATGCAAAGTGAGGAGTGGGATTTAGCCAGACCAGGCTTGGTGGCTGCAGCCTCATTGCTCTGCACCATGCTGAGCTGGCTGCTCTCCTCCTGCTTTAGGAGCAGATTTTGGGCTGCAGAGTCTCCACAGCAGATGCCATGACTTTTGCTGGATTTGGAAAACAAATCTCAGAGGCAGTGAGGTTCATCTTGCCACCTTCCTCAAGCATGCCCCAAGTTTAAGGACTGAGTTGAGCTGTTAGATCTTCACTAACAGCTTCTCCAGCAATAAAACTTGCCTCAGGTTGAATTTGCTGCTGAGCTTGGGAAGGATGCAGATTCCTTTCCCTCCCTTTCATCAGGGAAGCAGAGGCAGAAAATATTTTAAAATGTTGTTGGTAGTGCTACTCTCCACCACAGCCTTTTCAGGCACCTGCTGTGACTTGAAAGGTACCTTAACCATCTCCCCTACTTGTCTGCTAAACCTCTCAATCTTTTGTTGCTCTCAACAAAAATTTACCAAAATATCTGCACCACGCCTGTGAAGAGCATTGGCCACAAACTAATATATTTCCTCAAGAGGAGGAGTATTGGCTTAAGCAACTCATTTGTGCAAAATCTGTAACCTGACATTGCATTAGTAATAATTTTAGTTTGGACTCCTTCATTGAGAACATGTATAGATAGATCCAATATTAAATGTCATTAATCATTTTTAAAGCTGATTGCAGATTAAATGATTAAACTTAATTAGGAAGCTAACTTCTGGTTAGGTAGGGACTCCTCAGGTAGGCCTATTGCAACATCCTACATAGAAGTCTCTAAGTGGAACCCCTCATGAATGAAATAATCTCTCAAATGCTTTTTTGTTGCTGTTTCTCCTGATAAATCAAAACAAAAACTGGTATTCTTCACATGTGGCGTGAGGGATGAAACCCCATGGAGCAACCTACGGATAACAGCCGTGTAATTGCAGAACAAAGAGGTTTGGAGACCACATGTTTGGTGGGCTTTGCTGGGCTGTGAGAGTGAGGTAGGGTCACCTAGAGCAGATATCTGCTTTCCAGCAGAAGGCCACACACCATGATTTACTCGTACCAGTCTGTTTATGGCAACTGTCTCTCATTACAGTGTGCCGCCCAAGCTTGAGTGAAAACTCACCAACACTAAGGTAATTACTCACTGCCTTCGCGGAATCTCCAGCCTCCCCAAATAGAAACCACATGCCACAATAGGCTGAACATATTCTAAATAGTACTTACAGTAATTTTTTTAATAAGCAGAAAATATGCAAACTTAACTGCTGGCTAATTTGGGGTCCAGAGACAATCACCGTGCAGAGTGCGTAGGCATGAGATTAATTTTTTGCGATTTTTGGGGGTTTGTGTTAAACCTGGGTCTGTAGAGCAGTAAAAGCTGCAAGGAGGGGAGCTTCTCTTACGAATTAGTTGCTTAAAAATATGGCAGTGAGATTTAAAGGGTGTAATAAGCTGTAACAGCAGAAATCAAACCCAGCTTCTGTTGCTTTCATACATGGAAACAATTAAAGTTGATAACCACCCCCCATCTACAAAGTTTAAGTCATGTGATGAAAAGGAGGTAGAACTTCCAACACAAATTTATCTGAGGAGTCCTTGGGAATATCCATGGAGGTGTCACAGTCAGTTTAGACACAGAGTCTCCTCCAGAGTCCTTGTGGCACTGGGTGTGCCTGTCACTGATGCTGTGGCACACCCAGGCTTCAGGTGACACTGCCCAAGAGCAAGAGTACTCCAGGGAGCAAGGGCTGCCACCTGGGCACAAAATCTCTTTGCCAGCCCTAAAAATTAAATAGAATGCCTGTTGAATGCAAGAGGCACCTTGAGCAAGCAGCACCTCATTAAATAATTTTAAGTAATTTTAATGCTCGAAAAGGTAAATTGTTGGCACAGCTGTTAATTGTTTGCTGAGATTATATTAATAAATATTTATGTATTTTAATGGTATTGCCATTATCGATTGAATTTAGTTTAAAAACTGAGATAAAATGCATTTAGTCAAATTATTAATTTGCATCTCTCTTAATAGCCGTTAAGGATATCTTAAAATTTTAAGTGCATATTTTTGCTTTTCTCTGGAGTAGAATATTTCTTGATTCTGTTGACTTTGCAATACATTAATGGAGAATAATAGCTTAATAATGTACCACTGTTCTTTAAGGGAGAACTTTCCAGATTTTAGGAAGACCTAATCTGTGCCAATCTCTTTTCCATCCTTTTCCACTCCAACCAACCTGACCAAAGCCTTATCTTTAATAAAGCCATGTGAATAAGAAGCAGGACCTCAATGCAACCTGGTAGAAGATCAACAGTTCATAAAACATGATTTCTTTTTAATTCTATGATAGCCTATAATTAGAAATGCATGCATTTGAGATTTTTTTTTTTTCCTGGAAAAATACATATGGTCTATCCTGCTTTATACGTGGGAGAGGAGTAACTGCATAAGATCCATCTTGTGTGAACTTATGGATGCAACACTCGAGTCACCATTTGGGCCAGTTTAATTTTGGTTTCTGTGCTTAGTGTCATGAGAGCTGGGGGAAATTACTGTGTAAAGCCTCAACAGTGAAGGTAAGGGGCCTGATTCTGTGCCCTGGACTGTGGAACAGAAGTCTCATGCCTGCAATTAAGTTAAAAATAGGAGGAAATTGCAGAAAAATCAGAGCAAAAATGAATGATAAATAATTCTATATTAAATAAAAAATACACCTATGTTAAATAGATAAATAAATTATTTTTCAAAAGGACAAAAACTACTTAACAAGAGAAAACCAAGCATTTTCAAGAAACTTGAATAAACTTTTCTCATCTTTCTTGTCTCTCTTATTTCTTTCTCTTCCTTTTTTTTTTTTTTTTTCCGCTTGATTTTTGATTTTCTCTCTCTTCTTTCTTGCCTTTCCTTGTGAATGAAGATTTCCAGCAGGAACAGTAACTGATACACAGAAACAAACCTCCTTCCTGAATTACCACACTGCAAATTTCCTGTGTTTGGGTCCGATCCTGCACCGTTTACCCCACGAATTGTCCCGGGGATATCTGTCAGTGCGGGATGTGAACAGGGGAAAAAAACGGGTGGATGGGGCAGGATCAGGCCCAGGAACAATGGGAGCATTGTTGGTGAGATATGGAGCAGGCTGCTGAAGAGGTAAACAGTTAGGAGATGACAACAAGTGGTGGAGTTTCTCAAGGGCAGGGGTTTGGAGGAGCAGGAAGGTTAGCGCGGGCCCCGGTGCGAGTGGAAGTTAGAGGACGTGATTGCAGTTCATGGGAACCAAGAGTGCAGGATGGGATACATTCAATTCAGTTTCCTCTGCAGGCTTAAAATAGAGCCATTGTAAATTATGTCAGACTGTCTCGAATCATGAAAATGATTGTTAAAAAGGCCTCGGAATACACAATGCGCATTGTTGCGCGGCTTTGATGTGTGAAAGATGAGAGTTTATGATAGAACAGAAATTAAATAAAAAATAAAGTGGCCACATGCTTTTTCCTGGCTGGGAAAAAAAAAAGGAAAAAAGGATTTATTGCAGGGATAACAGTGCTTGCTGAACAGTGGTGCTGCCTTGTTTTCAAACAAGTCTGGAGCTGACACTGTTAGAAGCAAGGTAGTGCAGAGGTACAGACAAATTTTGGCATAATGAAAAGCACAAGGCACAGCACAGCCCTGGGGCTTGCCTGATGCTCCTGCTCATCCAAAGGATGCCAAGAAGGGACATAAAAAGTCACTGGGGAACTAAGCATTGCCCTCTTCCAAGCCCCACTTCTACTTACAGACTCTTAACTTGGTCGCTGCCCACTTTGCTCCCTAAGGTTTGTAGCAGCCAGAAAACCAGGAGCCTGCAAAATCCTGTTTGTCTCAGCGACGTGATTGACTCTGTAGTGTCTCACTCTGCACCACTGGGACCACTTCCAGCCTCCTGCCACTGTGGAAGGTTGCTGGAGGCTGAGCTCCAACGTGCAGAGTGTCACAGGCTAGATCACAGATCTGCTCCCGTGTGTTCCCAGGCCTTCTCCCAAATGCTGCATTTGTGAGACTGAAATCATTCTCATCTCAAAACTGAAAGGAAATTCATCAGGCTCTTACTGAGCATCAGACATGCAAATAAAGAGAGTTTCATTCTTAAAGGAAATTGTTGTTGAAATATGGTCTATCTTGTCATGTGCAAGAGGCAAACAAGCAATGTTAAGACTAGGAAAGTTAAGATGTAGAATTTAGAGTTACAGGCACCTGTGAGCACTGTATGCATTGCATGATTAGAAATGCATTGGACATATGAAAGTACTGAGGTTTTCCAGGTTCCAGCCTGGACTTCCATGAGATTAAATTTTTCATTGTAAGTAGAAAAAAATGTTTGTTACATTTATACTTGGAAATAGGAAATACCTGGTTGTCTCCTCCTTCACCTCTTTCCTATTCTTGCAGAGTGAAAGCTGTGTGAGGCAGCTTCATCTCTGTCTGGTGCTGCAAATATTTATTTTAATGATTCATTTCCACATGGGAATGGTGACATAAATGGATGCCATTTGAAGACACCTGTGCTCTCACACAGGAGCGCCGTGGGTTCATGTGGGGTCACAGCACGGGGTCGTGGCTCCTGGGGGGCTCTGGGGGCTAATGCAACGTGGAATAATGGTACTGAACGTGCAGCACTGTGCAGTGCAAAGAGCAAACGAGGAGAGTGTGTCTGTTAGTGATTCCAGACCTTTTCTGCTTGGTTGGAGCGGGTTTTGGTGCTGTCTTCTGACATTTGTCTGCTCAGATGCCTTACTTTGGACAGTACAGTTGTTTTTATACATTTGTGCACCTAGACCTCTCCCTGTGGCTTCCTCATTGACTTTTGATGGGTAAAAAATGGTGTTATTTGCACAACTTTGAGGGTGGGGGCAATTACCACAAAGCCTGAGATGTGTTGTTGTTGTTGTTTACATACAGGTGAGGTCTGCCATAAATCCTATACTCAGTTTTCAAACCTTTGTCGTCATAAGCGCATGCATGCTGATTGCAGAACCCAAATCAAGTGCAAAGACTGTGGACAAATGTTCAGCACTACGTCTTCCTTAAATAAACACAGGAGATTTTGTGAGGGCAAGAACCATTTTGCAGCAGGAGGATTTTTTGGCCAAGGCATTTCTCTTCCTGGAACCCCAGCTATGGATAAAACGTCCATGGTTAATATGAATCATGCAAATCCGGGCCTTGCTGACTATTTTGGAGCCAATAGGCATCCTGCTGGTCTTACCTTTCCAACAGCTCCTGGATTTTCTTTTAGCTTCCCCGGTCTGTTTCCTTCAGGCTTGTACCACAGGCCACCTTTGCTACCTACTAGTTCTCCTGTTAAAGGACTTCCGAGCGCAGATCAGACAAACAAAAGCCAAAGTCCCCTCATGACAAATCCTCAGATACTGCCAGCCACCCAGGATATTTTGAAGGCACTAAATAAACAACCATCAGTAGGGGAGAATAAGCCAGTGGAGCTTCAACCAGAAGGGTCCTCTGAAGAGAGGCCACATGAGAAACTCAGTGACCAGTCAGAGAGTAGTGACCTTGACCTTGACGATGTCAGTACCCCCAGTGGCAGTGACCTGGAAACCACCTCGGGCTCTGATCTGGAAAGTGACATTGAAAGTGAGAAAGAGAAATTTAAAGAAAATGGTAAAATGTTCAAAGACAAAGTAAGCTCTCTGCAGAGCCTGGCGTCAATAAATAATAAGAAAGACCACAGCAATCATTCCATTTTCTCACCATCCTTAGAGGAGCAGACTGCGGTGTCAGGAGCGGTGAATGATTCTATAAAGGCTATTGCTTCTATTGCTGAAAAGTACTTTGGTTCAACAGGACTTGTGGGGCTGCAAGACAAAAAAGTCGGAGCCTTACCTTACCCTTCCATGTTTCCCCTCCCGTTTTTTCCAGCATTCTCTCAATCAATGTATCCATTTCCTGATAGAGACTTGAGACCGTTACCCTTGAAAGTGGAGCCCCAATCACCCAGTGAAATTAAGAAGATCCCAAAGGGAAGCTCTGAGTCTCCCTTTGACCTCACCATAAAACGTAAGGAGGAGAAGCCACTTACTCCCATCCCCTCAAAGCCAGCAGCCCCCTCTGCATCCAGCCAGGACCAGCCTCTGGATCTCAGCATGGGCAGCCGAAGCCGAGCCAGCAGCACAAGGCAGGCTGAGCCTCGGAAAAACCACGTCTTTGGAGAGAAGAAAGGAGGAGACCTCGAGCAGAGGAAAGCTTCAGAGTCCTCTTTGCAGCACGCCAGGCCCACCCCGTTCTTTATGGATCCCATATACAGGTAAAGCACTCTCTGCTGCCTTTCAGCATCCTTTGGTGCAGGCAGCCAGGTCTGCCAGGGCTGCCCCCCTGTCCAGTGTCCCTGGAAGTGCCATTGCAGTGCCAGGGCATGGGAGCCCAGGTGACCTGTACGTCCCTCCTCACATCCCAGCTGCTCCAAGTGAGCCACGGGACTGGCAGTGCTGCAATCAGCAAGTCCTTGTTGCCATGAGTCATTTATGTAACCTGCATAGCTTTTCATGCAGAGGTTGAATATGTTCTCTGAGTTGGCATCAGTATTGAATGTTTGTTTATTTGATCTGTATTTGATGTCACTGATTTGCCTGAAATTAATTTTCTTCCAAAATTCTGCCTCCTCTGGCTTCCCCTGGAGATGACAGTACCCCTTGTACTTTACTTTTCCAGCTCTTGAATTCAAGAGGAGTTTCTCGCAGTACAACAAAGAAACACATTGGCCCTAAGATGTATTAAAAGCAAGGAAATTGAGAATGATTTCTGCCCTCTTTTGCCATTATTTGAGTGCTGGGTTGATTTCTTCAGGCATTTTTTTCATAGAAGTGAAGGCACAGCATCCTTGTGCGTACAAAGCCTCACCAGTGGGCTCTTTAGTCATAGAATCATCATAGAAAAGGTTGGGTTGGAAGAGACCTTAAAGCTCATCTCATTCCAACCCCCTGCCATGGGCAGGGACACCTCCCACTCCACCAGGCTGTGCAGATCCCCATCCATGGTCTGCCTTGTGACATCAGTGGGAGCATTGTTGGCTTTGAAAGGTGCACACTGTCAGTGAGCTGAGATTTTAAAAACCAGTGGTAAAATGCAGACCTTCTGGTGTTTCCCAGCAGAACTGAGATGGATCTCAATGGGATGTGAATTTCACCTGCATCCTGTGTGTGCCAGCCCCCCTTTGCCCTTTGTGCACTTATATATCTAACAAGTCAAAGTATGCACCTCTAAATTAGTTTAGAGAAATATTAGCCATAAAAATATTAGTCTGTAATATAAATGACTGATTTTATAGCCTCTTGTTATAAAAAAACCCGATACTGCCGTGTAAATTATGCTAATTTATTACTTTATCTGAAAAAGAAATGCTGTGGGCAAAGTTTTTGGAGAGTGCTGGTGCATAAGACAAGAAGTCTGCGTTATGAAGAAACAGGATATGATGCTATTTAGTGAGATGGTTTTATTCGTGCCAGATTGATATCTGTGTTAGACCATAAGTTTTCTTTGCGTCATATTCACTTAAAATGCCTGAAGCAGCGGAAATAATGATCCGTGTTTTATGGCCCTGCATTACCAGCTAATTAAATTGCATTGCAAACTCCCCTGCCCAGGGCAGAGGGGTTGGAGCAAGATGATCTTTAGGGTCTCTTCCAAACCAAGCCATTCTGTGAGCCCACATGTCTATGATTTTAATGAAATCTGTACAAATTCTGGCAGTTATTACTGAGCCTTCCTTTGCCATGAGTTACCTCTACACGTGGACAACACAATTCATCCATGAGACCATGCACATATCATTAACAGGAAAAGCAAAATCCTCAAATTTCCACACTGTTTCTGAATTGTCCACGCTGGGGTTTGCTGCCACGAGTGAATAGCAGGATTTGCTGCTGGCACCTCAGATTCACTGTGTTCCTACAAGCTCACCTTTCTTGCCCTGCTTGGCCTTGGCTGTGCACAGGGGAGGTTTCCAGGGTGGTGGCTGTGATGTTGTGTCTGGACAGATGGCAAGGGACCCTGAATTCCTCTCCTCTTAGTGCTGAGTGTGTTCAGTTGTCTTATTTCTTTTTAAAAGTGTTTGGTAGTTAGTCACTGGTTCCTATTACAATGGTTATCAACCTTTTGAAATGGGAATATTCCCCAATTAAATGGTATAATCTACTTTAAAGGTGATTCCCAGCCCCACCCTGGCAGTAATGAGCTGTGTGTGGGAATCAAGTCTTGAGCTCCTCCCTTATCTTTTACTGTTATCTCCTAGAAACAAATTGCTTGATGTGTAATTGCCTGTTTTAAACCTGACTAGCTGTATGATTATTAATATCTTGAGACTGACTCATCACAAGCAAATCTAATTTTAACATTTACAGAGTAGAAAAAAGAAAGCTAACTGACCCACTGGAAGCTTTAAAAGAGAAATACTTGAGACCTTCCCCGGGATTCTTGTTTCATCCACAAGTAAGTATTTTGGGAATTTTGATGTTGTAAACAAGCCTGTTGATGCTTCAAAGCAGGTGCAGAGAAATGAATGCAGTCTTAGTCATTTTTGGATTTCCTAAAACACACAGTTTTTGCTGGACCATTGTGGTGGAAAAGCGTAAGCATTGTTCTGAGCTTCTTGATGTTTTGTAGATGAAACAACATGTTTTGATTATAGAGGAAGCCAGATTCGAACTGAGTGTGTCTTTCAGAATCATTTTCCTCCAAAACCATAACGTAGCTACCAACATTTGCAGCCACTCATATCTTCAGCACTCTCCTGTGCTCTGAGCCAGGAGGGTCAGTATTGACATTCACAGTAAGGCCAGAATAGCTGAGCATCCCACTTTAAAAGGGATTTTATTTTGTTTAAGGACTCTCATAAAAGAGAGAAAAGTTTCCCCCTGTTGTTTCCAAGCCCCATAGTGCAAATGCACTATGAGTTTCTTTGGTAGCTGCTGTGGGCTGCAAGGTGTGCAGTGTGTGCAGGATCACCTGTTGTTTCCAAGCCTCATAGTGCAAATGCTGCACAGTTTCTTTGGTAGCTGCTGTGGGCTGCAAGGTGTGCAGTGTGTGCAGGATCCCTGCTCCTCCAGTCCTGAAGAGACTTTATGAGGGCTGCTCGCTTGTTCACAGACCACAATCCTGGATGAAAAACATTTAGGAGGGTGTCCCAAAACAGTTTAACAACTGTGATGTGTATGTGGCATAGGAAGAGGATTTGTGTGCAAACTGTACGTTGCTTTTCTTCACCAGTACTGCACCCTCGTTTTGTATTCCTCCTCCTCGCTCAAGGAGATTTTGCTAAAAATCTCGGTTAAATCTTACACCTGAAATAAAATGCTCTGTGGTATTTACAGATTTGAACTCCTTGCTGACTGTGGGCTGTTTCATCTTAGTAATGACACCCTCTACACATCCTGTATTTTAAGCACATAACCATGAGCTGCTGTCTCTGGTTCAGGTTCCTGTGAATTCCTGGGCAAAACAGCCCAATTACCACTTGTTTTTTTTTCCTAATGAAGTCCTAAGTTATTATGTCCTAACTTGCATGGAATATGTTCTGAAAAATGGCAGAGCTGGGAAGAGCAGCTGATAGCATATATGGTTGCAGATGCACCATATAAAAACACCCCTTACCAATTTCAATGTCTGAACAAAGTGTTGGATTGTGTATGAAAGTATTTAGTAGTATTTACATGCCATAAGTATTTATGGCATTATGTAAGTATTTATAAGCATTAAATAAGAATTTAAGATGTATTAAAATCACTGAGAATTTCTGTGCGAGGTTTAATAGCAGCTTAACACCTCCTGCTGAGTTACCTTAAATAAGGTAAATCTGCCCAATTGGCAACACAAGGGAAAAGTCCCCTTTAGTAGCAGCTAGTACTAATTCACAAATGCACAAAGGACCTCAATCTCCTTTTAGTCCCTGCTGTGAAACAGGCTGGTTCCTCCCCATCAAGTCAGTGATTCTGTTAGAGCAGCTAAGGAGCTGTAAATTATGAGTAAATTATTTAAATGAGGCCATTTTAGATACTGCATTGATAAAAAAAGCAGGATTATTTGGCTTGGTGCTCTCTAGCTGTTCAGAAGCTGTCACTCAGAGTGGTTCAGTGGTGTTGGATGTGGGGGTTCTGAAGGTGTTGCTGCAGGTTGGACTGATGCCAGTGGTGGGTGGAGTGGTCAGTGGGTGGGAAAGAGGCTGCTGGGGTAAAATTCACTGTTTGGAGTTTGGTTGTGTAGGCAGGAAAGGAGTTGGATATTGAGTTGGATAGGAGTTGGATATTCTTTTATGTATTCTTTTATGGAGTTGGATATTCTTTTATGTATCCTTTCACGTAGTTGGATATTCTTTTGTGTGACTGAGTTACCTGGGGAGCTGAGAGTCAGGCGAGGATGTGTGGGTAAAATAGAGACATGGGGCATTTCCCTGCTAATGGGAATGATGCCAGGCTTCCACTCTCTGTGTTTTGTCCCAGGGAGTTGTTGAATCTCTCCTTGGTGCCCGAGGAAGGTCCCAGTGCTATCACCAAGGCTGGCAGTGTGAGGAGGAGGTGTCAAGTGCCACCTCCCCATGGCAGGGGCAGGAGGGAGGGCTGGCTCTGCAGAGCCCCCTCCTCCACATTTCTCACTGTGCAACAGAATAAAGAGTCCATGGCAAAGCCTGGCTTTGGTTTTATCACTTACCTGAGTGAGAGGGCTGATGTCTGTAACTTGGTGTGAGCTGGATCGATGCAGAGGTCAGGAGTGTAACGGGCACCAAGGAACGTTGTAAAGGAAAACCAAACCACCAGCACATGTCCTGTCAAAAAAGTAAATGTCAAAATGCTTTCTTGCAAACTTTAATAGAACAGAAAGCAGCCTTCTGTTTGCAGAGGCAGAATCTGGCTTGGTATTTATGGAGGGCTGGGGAACGGCTTCCAGAAAAGCTGTTTTTCCTTTATAGTCCTGTTCACCCCTGTAAAAGTACAGGTGGGGAGTGCTCCACGAGTTTTGATTTTCTGCTGGCAGGATTTAAAATATTTACAAACTTATTGTTCATGTCCTAAAAGCTTGTGGTGTTGTTGTTGACTTTATTCCGGAAAATTGCCATCTCAGGGACCAAGAATTTATTGTTTTTTAACTGGATAATATGACAGCAAACAGATGGATCTTTCAAATAGGTTTCTGAAATAGAACTTAAAGACATAAACCCTGAAGTCTGTATCCTGTCCCTGGCTGGGCAAAATTCCTCCCTGTGCCCAAAAGTTATGAAAATCGGATAATTTAATGGCATTCCACAATAATTTGCCATTACAAGGATTGTCATTTTTAGGAAGAGAACATCCCTGTCCAATAAATCATTCATAAAAACATTTTAATTAGTATCTTTAAATAAAATCTTAATAAGTACATTGATTGCAATAAGGATTCCAATGCAGGAATAATGTGTTGTTTTTGTTTCAATTTTGCTCCCAGTTCCAATTGCCTGATCAAAGAATTTGGGTAAGTTCATTGCTTATATTTTTAATTTAATCGCTGTGAAATAAATTGCATAAGAAAAATATAATATGAAAGATAACTTACCTCTCAATTATGGAGCATGCCACTCTTTCCTACAGGGTCTTACAGCTGAGCAGATAAATATGCTCTTGTGAAAAATTGGCTTTATTTTTATGTACCTGATCCTGCTGGTTTTGTTTGGTGAAGGCAATGGGAGCTTTACCTGAGTGAGGGTTGAAGAATGCAGTCTTTTGTTTATATGTGACTGAGATTGTTCCAAGCCGTTTTCCTTCAGAGATTGCAGTGAAATTTTCAGGCTGAAATCTTGTTAGATAGCAATAGTTAATATTTAATCTGCATTAAAATACAGAGTCTCTCAGGATTTTATGCTTTTCCCTCACTTGACTTTGGTGGGAGTTAGTCACTTTAATAGCTTTGAAATTTTGAGCCTAATTGCTCATTGCAGTGCTTAAAGCAGAAATAAAACACCCATTTATTTGCTGTGTTTAGGTCAAATTTGTCCTCTGTGTATTCTTACATCATCCTCCTTACACGAAAAGGAATTGTGCTTTAAGTGCACTATGGAATAAATTTGGCCTTTCTCTTCTATTTTTACAAAACCCTGTTTTTAATACATCTAAATTGTTCATGAGAAGGAAAAAAAAAATAAAGAACCGCAGCAACTGCTTTTGCAGATGCAGCTCCAAAAACGCCGTGTTCTGATCTCGCACTGCCGGCTCCTCAGCTGCAGCGCCGAACCCATAAATGCTTGTCCCAGATTTTCCCAACCTCTGGGCTTTGGAGGGGAGAGCTGGAGCCAGGAGCAGGGCTGGGGTTCCTGACTCGCTGCTGCTCCTCGCTCTCGCTGCCTCCTGGACTCGTTTCACCAGGCAAAGCCAGAATTCTGCAGGGCGAGCGCTGAGATCTTCTCGTGCTCCTCTGCTCGTGTGTCCCTGCTGCAGGAGGTGCTGCCCCGGGCTCTGAGCCCTGCCCTCTGCTCCGTGCCCTCCTTGGCACACTGCTAGAGCAGTGCTGGACCTTGGCTTTGTGTGGGTTTCATCCCACTTTCTTCTGGGAAGAGCTGTCGTATGCAGCTGAGAGATGCTCTGAAGGGAGCTGAGCAGGCTCCAAAGGACTCCTGAGAGCACCCAGAGGTGCTGCAGGGGCTCAGCAAGCAGAAGGTGAAGTTAGATGCCAGACTTGGAGAGCACAGGAGGTGGTTCCCAAATATTTTCTTTGGGAAATTCGCTGTAGGACATGAAGGAGCCATAGTAGGATTTGTGATTTGGCCCAGGCACTCTTAATCCTCTGCTCTGAGAAAAGTGGCTCTGCTTCAGCAGGTTTGGGAAGTGGAAAAACCCACTGCAGTCTGTTTCTTCTGTCTGATTTCCTTGCCTTTGGCTTAGTCCTCAAATTTCCATCATTCTGCTCCTTTTGTGAGTGTACGTCTCCTGGCTGCGCTCACGCTTTGAGCAGCTCCAGCAGAAATAGGTGTTTAAAACATGAAGTGACTGAGCAGGATGCTGATTCATGGATGAATCTCCATCTTGAGAGATTTGGTTTTGTCACACAAGCCTTTCCATCTCAATTCCCAGTTGCATGTGCCACATATTTCAAGATTATTTGAGATTGGATTTTCATTGTTTGGCAGGAGCCCTATGGTGCAAATCAATGGACATCTGTTTTGAATGGATCAGGATTAATTGATCTATTTATGCCATTTTGGTTCCATCAGGAGAAGGTTACTCTAGGGAGGTTCTGTAATTTTAGGCAGACAGTATTTGCTTTAGGAAGAACCATTGTAAATAATTAAAACAATGTTACAAATAAATGGAAAGGAATTTGGTGAGTGCCTTAACAAAGCTTTTGTTTTACTGGGCTTAATTTTAGGGTGTGATCCATTCTGTTAACTGAGCTTAATCCCTACCAACTGGATTCATACAAATCCACTTATTCTGGAGCCATACTGCACATCAGGAGTTTCTTGCTACTGCTTCATAAAGTTCAGCCACATGTGATAGTTCTCTTGAACGTGAATGTAACTCAGCCAAGTTCCAGGGCTGGCTGTCCAAATACACACAGTTTCAAGACAACATGATTCACAAATTGCAGATTTTAGAGGCAACATTATAACTTCAGCTGGGGGAGGGAGAAATTCTGAGCTTTAGCAGTTGGATTTTGAAGAGTTCCCCAAATAACAGTAGTAAAAATAGAAAGCAAACACTTGAACAGTTTTTTTTCCCATGAGGTCCGGCCATAAAGTCAGTTGTTTTTGTGATAGTAGCAATGAAGCAGTCACGTTTGTCAAACAGGAGGTCATGTAATTCATGACATTGTCTGCGAGATTATTTCATATCATCAAGTTATTCTTAAAAAGCAACAACAGCAAACCTTCACTTTATTTATGCCACTTTTTCTTGGGTTGGTTAATAAATTTTAAGACAAATGTTCAAGGCCCCTGCTGATGATATCTTGCCCGCTGAAATGTTTATAAATACTTGTTTTAGCCGATTATGGTAATGTCTGCATTTTTGAGTCGGAGCTGGGGAATTGTGACTGCACATTAGTTTGCGTCAGTCGGAGGTTAATAGCCTCTCAGGGAGGTGGGGGAAAGCTGCTTCCTTTTCCAGACATCTGGACACAGATAGAATCAACAACTCTTATATATGTAAATCAAAAGTTACTGTTCTATATAAAACACTGTCATTCACTGATCGCAGATTAGGAGCGCACGTGACCTGTCCGTGAGGCAATAGCTGTATGTAAAAGGTGTAATAGGATCTTCTGCCTCTCCTGCCTCCTCAGGGAGCTTTCTCCATGGGCATGGCAATTCCACTAATCCAATCCTTGGGGTCGAGCAGTGCTTCCCCCCGCCCCGTGCCCCATTCAGGGATCACCACAGCCCTTGGGTGTTGGGTTGGGGTGCCGAACCCCCTGAAAGCCCAGCTGGTGGCTTTACCCACACACCCGCCTCCCTGGTGGTCCCAGGGACCATCCCTGGAGAGGGGAGGAGACCATGAGCACCCCCCAGGACAGGCACTCTCACCAACACCTCTCTGCAGGAGTTGGGTGGGTTGAGTAGCCTCTCCATGGCCAACACAACTCCTGTGGAGGCAGGTCTTGCTTTGCCATCAGTACTAACCGTGTTTGGAAGGAAGAGCAGCTACTTTGGTCATGTTTCAGCTGGAAGAGCTGTGGAAGAAGGAAAGTCATGTCCTGGGTTAACATTTAGTCATTAAAAAAAGGGGGGGGGAAGGGGAAGAACAAAATAGTGATTTTTACAATCATTGAAGATGACCAGTGGGTCCGCCTTGGAGTGTCACTGGGCTGAACTGGGCTGAACTGTGGCATTTAGGTCTGTAAATGCCATAGGAAGAAGGGTGAGTGGGCAGAGAGTTTGTGACTCTTCACTGTGAGCACCCAAATCCAGAAATGACTATGAAGATTCTGCAGAGATTCAGAGAAAGCTGAGACACCAGGATTAAAACAGTGATAAAAGTCAAAGTCAGTAAATTCCCACTAATACCATGGGGAAGTGTGACTTTTAACTCTTGTCATTCAGGAAAAAGATCTTGAAGTTGGTAGTCTTGAGGAAATATCACCTGAGTGCTTAGCAGAAAAGAGTTGAAAACATCATTATGTTATAGTGGCTTCAGGTCTTGAATACAGCTAATGTTCCTCACAAAAAGGCCATAGCAGAATTAGAAAAGACACAGGAAAGTGCAACAATGATGATCACAGGTAGGGAACAGCTTCCATTCAAAAAGAGGCTAAGTAGGTTTTGATTTTTTCATCTGGGAAAAAAATGCCTGAGGGAGCTGTGCCCCAGCTCCGTGAGCCCATGAATGGTGAGCAGAACCTGGATGAGAAGTGGTTATTCATTAGTGATAACAATACCAAAAAAAAACCCCACAAAAAATGTCAGGCAGAAGGCTTAGCAGGAACAAAAGCCAGTATCTTTTCATATGCACCTAATTAAATTGGTGAACTCTCCTTGACAGAAATATAAATGGGTTTGAAAAGGTTTAGCCAAGGAGTGGGAGCAGTGGCTGATGGCTGTTCAATGTTGTAATGGAGATGAAGCCTCCAGTTAATGCTCTTGCACCTCCCTGTGCTGGTGTTGGGCAGTGGGGAGATCTGTCCCTTGCCCACCCTCCTGTGTGTCCCCTGGAGCCCCTGCTTGGCACCCAGTACCAGCTGCCAAAAACTCGCGTGGCAGGTTTAGAATTCCTGCTTGGTTTTGGTGTCTGAATTAGCCCTCCATGCAAACCCCCTGGATTTCTTACTGCTCAGCTGGTGTTCTGTAAGTAGACTGGTGAGCAGGGGCTGTCTGCCTGCACGGAAGGTGATGGACAGCATGTTTTGGATCAGGGCTGCAGGATTTCATGAGCTGTAAAATGCCCCCACAGTCCAGGGACCCATCTCACAACAGGGATTTGCATCTTGAAGGCTCTGAGCACCAACACAGTCCAAGACTTATTAAGAAAATGCCCCAATTTAGGTTCTTGGGAGCCCTAACTCCAGCAGATAGTACCAGCTATAATTATCCTGATAGCAGTGGAGTGACAGTGCCTTGGATCAGCAAAGCCGTGGGGCCAAACACTTCCCATTGGTGCTGGTGCAGTTCTTGAAAAACATAAATCATACCAGGTCACCACATAAGTCAGGCTTTAAACAAAAAAAAACACAAAACAGCTAAACAGCAAAACAGCAAGCACAATAGTCATTCCTATGGTGAGAAACATATTTTTAGAAAGCGAGTAATACTTTAAAATAATTGGAAGTGCTCGTGTTTCCTCTGGATGAGGGATTTAAGATTAGGTGCTGATTTCATACCTATTTTGGGACTGATGTAATCCTGGAGGCAGTGTTGGAGGTAGAGCTGATCTGCGTTGCTGTGCATGAAACAAGAGTCTGTCTCAGTTTCTACTCTGCAAAATCCTGGAAATAAGAACTAAAGCAAAAATCAGCATGACTAAGCCATTTTAAATGTAAAGGGGAAAATAGTTGCTTTAATATATTACTGGCGGGCACCATGTGCATGAGAAATTGTGATCCAAAAATGATTTAAACCCACTAGATAATGAAATGGACTTGAATATTAAATATACATAAATAAAACATTTATTATACTTCTCAGTACCCTTATTATTCTTCACCATAAATATGTGATATCATAACCCATGCACTGTCTTGTCATTGCTAATCAGCCCGAAGGCCAAAGGGCATTTTTCACTCAAACCATTTATTTTCAGCAGTTATAAAATAGATGAGTGAATTTTTGTGGGGAACAATTAGAAGGAATTAAAAGCAGCGGAATGACTATTTTAAAAGCTTTAAGAATCAATTTCAACTAAAGGAGAATATGAAGTCGTATAAAAAGAAATATATGGTAATGTTGAGGTGCATGGCTTGATAATGACATCTCGGTGCCGAGATAGAATTACCTCCTCTCCCAGCAGCATCATCATTACATATCTCATGCCTGTGATCAGTACATGTCAAAATCCTTCATATTGACAAATGTGCTGTCCACTTGCATCTGTGGAGAATGTTTTAGCAGCTGAGTGATTATGAATCAAACCCCAGAGCTTACAGCCCTTACTGCCTCGCAATGCTTTCACATTTGTTGCCTGACAAGTAAATGTATCTTGACTTCCCTCTGAGATTTTTTATTTTTTTCCACTGTGTTTGATGAAAGACATTTGGCAAATTGGCAGTGGTACCCTGTACGTTGCAATTTGTACTCAGCATTAGGAATCTGAGCATGAAATGAGAGGGCAGGCTACAGGCTAAAGGGAAAAAAACAACCCAGCCCAAAGGCAGAGCTAACCAGCATGGAAATAGTCATGCCAGGAGACAACTGTGTCATTCTGCCAATGAAAATAAAATTAAATAAACCTGCAAAAATTCCCAGTTCTTCCAATTAAAATTTCAGTTTTCCAACAATCAGAGGAGCCATTTATGGATTTTGAAGGACAGTCTATGGAGGTGTTCCAGCTGAGAAGGGTTCAACATCTTGTCTTTCATATAATTTCCTTCTTCATTACAAGCAAGATCTTGCACAGGGCTCATGCTGTGGGTTTTGTGCTCTGTAGGTCAGAGCTTGGCTTTCTTTTTTTTCATTTGTTTGTGGTGTTATGGAGAGGTGGATGGTTATTCTCACCTGTCAGTAGGCTCAGCACCATTCTTGAACTCTTCAAGTGGCAATGTTTGAGGTTTTGGAGGAGCTTTTCATGGTCAGTTCCAGACAGCTTAAAGGAAACCGTTCTCCAGAAATTATTTAATCCCCACTCCCTGCAAATTACAGACAGCTAATCAAGAGTGGAGCCATCCCAAAGCACATAGGAGTTACAAGCAACTAAAGGTAGAGCAGGAATATTAAGAGGTGGAAAAATAGCATAAGCATGTAACAGGGAATGTGAGTACAGAGCACCAAAACCACCAAAGCTTCATTTCTTCTGTGTTTATCTAATGGTCTTTGGCTATGATGGGCTAGAACTCTGGACTGGATGGTTGGATGTGGCTGGAACTTTGATGGAGCCTCTTTGGATCTGGATTGTTGCAGCCCTTCATTGAGCTAGTGTTAATAAGGTTTCCTCTGCAATATGTGTCCTCTGCAAGTCCTTAAAAAAATAAAATTAGAAATTCAGTTATTATTTCTGTTTATTTGGTAATAAATATTCAATGATTTCTGTAGATGGAATGCACAGACTTCTAGGCACACAACCACAGAGCAGGACTGCAAAACCTGGAATTTTGTAGGAGCTGGGGCTTAAAAATAAGAATAAATGAACACTGGCTGATTATTACCCTCATGACTCATAATTTTCGAGACTGCAACTCTACCCTGAATTTTTTTCCCTTTTTCTTCTTTCGCTTGTCAGTTGGTGTTCCCTGCATTTCGGGTTCCCGGTGGGGGCAGAAATCCGAGTGGGTTATTTACCGTGGTGGGCTCTGTGCTGTTTCCTGCTGCAGGTGTCAGCTATAGAAAACATGGCTGAGAAGCTGGAGAGCTTCAGCGCCCTGAAGCCGGAGGCCAGCGAGCTGATCCAGTCGGTGCCATCCATGTTCAACTTCCGCGCGCCGCCCAGCGCCCTCCCCGAGACGCTGCTGCGCAAGGGCAAGGAGCGCTACACCTGCAGGTACCCCGGGGCCACCCCAGCCTGCCCTCTCCAAGCCTCCCCTGTCCTGAAATCCAAGAGCGAGGCTCTCAGGCCTCTCCCTGCCCAGCGTGGAAAGTGTTTCCCTTTGGGGTTCCTGGCCTGGATCAGGAATGGCGTGGCCAGCAGGAGCTGGGAGGTCGTTCTGCTGCTGAGCTGGGCGCTGGTGAGGGCGCACCTCCAGTGCTGTGTCCAGTTCTGGCCCCACTGTTTGGGAAGGACTTTGGGACACTTGAGGGCATCCAGAGGGGGAAAAGAGGCTGGAGAGGGGCTGGGTTCCTGTGAGGAAGCACTGAGGGAGCTGGGGGTGCTCACCTGGAGAAAAGGAGGCTCAGGGGTGCCCTCATCGCTCTGCACAGCTCCTGAAAGGTGCCTGTGCTCAGCTGGGCTGGGCTCTGTCTCCAGGAACTGGAAAGCACAGGGGCAATCCTAGATGACAAGGAAGACTCTTACTTCACACAGAGAACGAGAGGACACAGCCTCAAGCTGCACCAAAGGAAATATAGGTTGAATATTAGGAAAAAAGTTTTTTACTGAAAGAGTGATAAAGTTCTGGAATGGCTGCCCGGGGAGGTGGTGCAGTCACCATCCCTGGATGTATTTAAGAAAAGCCTGGGTGTGGCACTGGGTGTCAGGGTTGAGTTGAGGTGTTGGGGCTGGATCTTGAAGGTCTCTTCCAATCAGTGATTCTGTGATTCTGTTTATTAAATTATTGGTGTTGCAAAACAAAGAGCTCTCCCTTGATGCCTTGGAGTGGCTGCCTAAAATAGATGCTGGAAAAGATTAAGAGAATAAAAGCTGGTATTTATTACAGGCCTTCAACAGGTACACCTTGGGCTGTCAGAAGCCTCCCAGAGGCTACACCCAAGATGAACAATGATCATGAGTTTTTCAGACAATTATAAGTTTTGACCATTTACCTATCAGAGGTTAATCCTCCAATTACAGTTTCAGGTAATGAAGTAATTTACTCCAACTTTGCCCCTTCTAATTCATCGTTGCTTATATCTCTTCTTGAGTTTCAGGCCCAGAGAGGAATTGTTTTGTCTGACCAAAATGTGAAGACAGTAGCTAACACTCTATATGGAGTTATAGAGTTACACACTAAAGCAGTACAGAATTTGAAAAATATAAAAGCTAAATCCTGAGGCATCACCCTGTATCACAGCAGTTTGATAAATGAGGTGGAAACCATTATATAAACAATTTTTTTTTCCCAAATTTTCTCATCCCTTTAATATATAAAAGTGTGCTTTCATAATTGATTTTTTTGATCATAAACTACAGACGTGTTTTCTCTCTGGCTTCTGGTTTTAATATCCAAAGGGATCAGTGATAAAATACATTACTTATTAGGACTTGTGTGTATGGACTTAAAAAAAAAAAAACCCACAATGAAGATAGTCATTGAATGTGCACCCAAAATGAATGGGAGCTTTGTCCAGGAGAGTGGAATTAGCTGTGTGGGTATTTTGAAGGCTTATACATCACGTTGTGAAAAAATAAATGGGATGTTAAAAGTGAAGGGATGCAATCTTCAAAGTCATTGCATGGAGCAGGCGCCACCCTCATTCACTTAAGAGAGTGCTGTGTGTGCTCTGCCCCCATGCAAAAATGGGCTCAATGTCCTCGACAGAATGGGCCAATTATAAACTGAATATTAATATGCTACTTGAATGAAGGGGGAGAACTCAGGCTAATTTTTTTTTTTTTTGGCCATTATTTTTCTTGTGACATATTATTGAGTTTGGAGAATGGTTTTTAAATTGCACTGCTTAGGTCTCTATATCATCTCCAGAATGTGCAGGCATTTGACACTGGCATATCGGTTTATCTGATCTTTTTGAAAACATGTCACCTTCTTTCAAGACATGTTGTTATAGAAACATACCTTGATGGATTAGGTCTTTGAGTCTTGTCTGCTCTGATCCTATTCAATGCACAGAACGGTGTCACGTTTGCTGACACGTAGAATTGGTTGAAAGGTTTGAAATTTGCTTACACAGAGGCAGAAATCCAAGGCTTTAATAACAGATTCTCTTGATTCCAAATCTGAATAAGGCTGATAATCACCCAGTGGGCTTAGAGCCTTGGGGTGATCTTTAAAACAGGTTTTTCATATAAGCCTTGCTTCTGCACAAGTGAAGCTGGTTGGTGCCAGCAGTTCCAGCCCCACTCTTGTGTGTGTGTTGATCCCTTACATTTGCTGAACGCTTTTATTGAATGTTGTTGCACCAAAACCATACTGTGATGATTCCATTTGGGCTGTGCATCCAGCGCAGCTCAAATTTGCTGAACGCTTTTATTGAATATTGTTGCACCAAAGCAATGCCAATAGGACCATACTGTGATGATTCCATTTGGGCTGTGCATCCAGCGCAGCTCAGACTGGGATGAGGCCACTGAAGGCTGTGTTGTTTTATCAAACATTTTCTTATCACAGATACTGTGGCAAGATTTTCCCGAGATCTGCAAACCTGACCCGCCACCTGAGGACGCACACTGGAGAGCAGCCCTACAGGTACCACACCCCTCACCCCGTCTGTGCTGTGGCCAAGCTCTAGGGTCTCTTCCAATGCAGACATTTTCTCTGAATAAAGCCAGGGAATTCAACATCCTTGCTGGACCAGCTCCAGCCCTTCCTCCTTAGATTTGGACCCACCATTGCGTTTTGGTGTCAGGGTTTTGTGCTGGTCCTCGGTGTTGGAGCTGCAGAAAGGGGGAGAGTTTTGGTCTTAGGGAAGTTCTTTTGGCTGGGGCAGCTTCCCAACACAACCCCCAAGTCCTACCTTTGCTGGCAGGGTGTCTGGCACTGCTGCACCAGTGTGATTGAGGTGATGTTCAGTAGGGCTCATGGGCGTATTTTCCCTTGCAAAAATGTTTTTTACTGGAGTTCTGCGGTGTTATTTGCAGCCTAAATTTGGGTGATTTGTCAGTCATCTGATTTCTGAAAGGTCCCAGTTGCAAAGGCATTACTGTATTTATTTGTTTCCTGCCTAATGTGGATCCTTTCTGAGGCCTGCTTAACCAAAACCCACGTGGGTGTGCTCTCCTGTTGATAAGAATATGTGTGTGATACTGAATCCAGGACGGTCACATGCAGAAATGTGTATAAAGCTTCACCTTATTGAAAATGAAAGGCTAATTTAAACTGGAAAGAGGCCAGTTCATGATCCATTAAAACAAATGCACAGATTTCTGCATTTTATGAGCTGTAAAGAGCAGAGTAAGCTCATTGTTTGTGAGGAAACAATATGTTTTTTGCATCTAATCTCTTTGGGAAATGAGATTCACATCTAATTTTATTGAAGGAAGGTCTTGATGCATGTTATACCCGTCCACTGCATAAAAGCCACAAGCAATTAGTAGCATAATGGGTGATTTCAGCACTAAAAAAAATTTTACATCCTTGACAAGTGTAAGAGAGGCGCGGGAGAAGTAAAAGATTGAAAAACTAAAGTGGTGAAGTCTCTTGGCTACTTGCCAGCCAGAGAATTTGGAATAGTTATAGTATGACTTAGTAATGGCTTAAAGAGCAATACAGTAAAGGCTTTAGGGACTCCAAATCGCTACAGAGTATGAAAATTGATGCCTCTGGTACCAGAGTGATAGACTAAACTACTCACATTGGCACAGTATTAAAGGTTGGGATTGTTTATTGCTGGTTTTTGCAAGATAACCAAATTTCCTCTGGGATTAGCAATCAAGCAAGCTAATTCCTCAAGAAAAGATTTAATCACACAGTATAATTTAGAATAGGAAAAGAAATAGCCCTTTTTACCTTATTTGAGCATTAGAAGAGATCTGTTTCATGTTTTTTCCAGAAGTGTTTAATTGTATTGTATTGGCAGCACATGAAACAATAGAGTTATTGCTCTACTGTTTTCAAACTTCCCAACTTTGCGTGCAACAGTTTTAAAAACATGGGACTCAATTACCATAGCTAATTTGATGCCATTAGCTCAGAAATATTATGCTCATTCCTAGAGGCAGTATTTAAAATATAAAGTCTAATGTGAATTAAAGCTGAAAACCCCACCATAGAAGTTATGTCTCCATTCCAAGAGCACAGCTCTCTAGTTAGCCAAAATTTGTCTTAATGTCAGGGAGGGTTAAGCCTCAGTAGGGAACAAGGAACTGTGGTTGGGTGCTGAGGCTGAGCCCAGAAAGCTCTTCATGTATCTTAGGAAAAATCTTATGTTTCCAGCCACTAACAAACTCTTCCCTACCCACTTGTTTTGTTGGCTTTTTTTAGATGCAAATACTGTGACAGATCCTTCAGCATATCCTCTAACCTGCAGAGACATGTGCGTAACATCCACAATAAAGAGAAGCCATTCAAGTGTCACTTGTGTGACAGGTGTTTTGGTCAACAAACCAATCTTGACAGACATCTAAAAAAGCACGAGAACGGGAACATGTCTGGTATGTTCTGTCTTTTCCCTCCTGTCTCTTCCCTCCCCAGCCTGCTCCCTGTCCCATGTGCAGGAATTGCCCCTTCCCTGTCAGTGCTGCCAAGTGTCCACAGGCACACGCTGCTCCAGTGGGTGGGGGGTAGCAAAATATGTAAGTGCCTAAGCTCTGCTGACATTTAAAGTGCTTTGAAAATCCCAGCATAAACTCTCCCCTTGTATAACTTAAGACCACTGGATGATGTCTTTTCTTTTGGTTTTAATTAAGCCAACCCATAGCGTTTTGAGAACAGACTGGGAAAATTGGTTTAATCCCATCTCTGCAATCACTTGGCTCTCAATAGGAGTCCTAGATTTAGAGTCTCAGGGGGCACTCTAAAAGATTTTCCTGGCACCTTCTGAAATATTCCCACTGTCAGGAGCTGAAAAGCGCTGGCTATTATGGAGCTAATGGTGCCTCTCAAGCAAATTGGTCACTGCACAGCAGCAGCACAGGCAGTGGCAGGAGAGGATGTCATTGGGCTGGTTTGGGTGTCTGCAGGACTTAATGAAAACCCTCTCTGCAGTCCTTTCAGTCTGCATTTTGCCTCAAGGGAGATAAACAGGGGCATGCAGTGAATGCAGAGCTGTCTCTTCCCCAGTGCTCAGGGAAAGGCATCTGACACTGGTCGCTCAGTGCTCAGTGAATATGTTGGTGGCTGCTCCATATTTTGAACAGATCTGCATAATTGATAGATAAAAATTAAGTCCCGTTTGCTCAGTTGAGCCATTGGTCTAAGAAGGACAGTTATCAATGGACAGTCTTGGAATCACAAGGAGCAGGAGGGAGATGTTGAAATAGAGACGTGGCAAAAGTGGTGATAAATCATGGAAATGGTACCCAGCATGCAAACAAGTCTTTTTGGCTGGAAATCACCTTTGCTCATGAGTAATTACTAATTACTGGTTTTATGGCCAAAAGCTGATAGCTCACACTGACCAGCCTTTGGCTCTCACCCATTTTAACCAGAGTTTCAATTTCATTTTGATTTAAATGGTTAAATGTAGAAAATGTAAAGGAACAGCAACAGACATTGTATGTTTTGCTTTAAGGTACTGCAACATCTTCACCTCACTCAGAACTGGAAAGCACAGGGGCGATCCTAGATGACAAGGAGGACTCTTACTTCACAGAAATTAGGAATTTTATTGGAAACAGCAACCACAACAATCAATCCCCCCGAAACTCAGAGGAGAGGTGAGTTGTGTCTGATCTGCCTTCAGAAGGTGCCCACTGCTCCTTTTTCAGGTCTGCAGACTTCACTTTTGTGATGTCTGGAGCCAGAGTTATTTTAGAATCTGGTTGCTTCAGTGGCCACCTTGGTGTCTCAGGAAAAGAAATGTGTTGATTCCCTCCCTACTGTGTATGAAGATGTTCCAAAGGGCAGATGCTGGACAAGAGACTCCATCTGTGAACACATTTCTCCTTGTATCTGGAGCTCTTAGTTTCAGGCTGCCCCCGTTGATTTAAGTCCTCTGAAAAATTCCTTCTCTTTACATTCATGGCAGAACAGGTGAATTCTACATCCTGTGGCTAAATGCACGGAACCTTAGGATTTAAGTGCAATTTAAATGTGTAATTAATAAAGTAGACCAGGCTAAATTCTTGGATCAAATGAAAGATTGTAGCTGAAAGTCCTTTCCCGTAAGTAACTCAATCCCAAGAAAGATGCTGAGTAGCCAAAAGCCCGTGAGGCTGCGGGTGGGCCCTGGGAGTCCACGGGGCTCCAGCATGTGAGAGAGCTTTTTCTTCTAAGATTTATTAAGTATATGGGTGTTTGAATTCTTCTGAACTAACAGAAGAGAGACCACTTCTAAATATTTTCAGTTAATAAAAGTACAGCTAAGCAGAAAAGGCTGTGGGACGGAGCCCCACATATTTCTTTGGGGTTGGTGTTGCATTATGCATTATTTTCCCTTTTGAATTGGCATTACATTATCAACATCAAAAAATTTTTACTGTTGGTGACAAACTTTGCTGTCTCCTCAATTTCTAGGTGCCTTTGTGAAGGGATAAAAAGGGTGGACACAACACAATTTCCACTATAGTATTGGATTAAGTGATTACGTGCATATTCAAATTTCATTCCATCTTGATTGGCAATGAGGGCTTGGGGTTTTTTCCTTGCACATCTGGTCTCAACATGTCCTCCGACAGGAAGTCAGCAAAGTGGAAAGGTTGCTGGGTTGTGCAGTGTTTCCTTTCTAAATTTGGCACTTCAGACTGCTCTTGACGGATATTTTATCCCTGGCAAATTGCTGCATTTGAAAGCATAATTAGAGAATCTGTTTTCTTAATCACATGGCTTTTGTTACTTTGGTTGTAGTCCATCTCCCTTTCATTTCTAGCAGCCTCAATTGAGCATAACAAGCAAGTTGGCAGCCCAAACTGAGCTCAACAATTTCTTATTTCTGCCTATTTAAATAAAAGATGATAAAGAGATATTTCTCTGATGATCTTAGAGGGAGGTGGCTGCTTCAGCTCTCCCTGGTCTGCACAACCTCAGATTTTTTTGATACTGTTCTAAAGACAGACTGTTCCCTTGAGCATTTTTTTCAGTTCAGTACTAAACTCATGGCAGTCAGCTGGAATTTGCTGAGAAAATAGATGAAACTCTAACATGTTCAGGAAAATGGTGCTGTTATTGTGGCAGAAACCAGCTTTGCTCCTCAGAAAGTCAAATGTTAAACACCAACAAAGCTGTGAGGGTTCATCTTATCTTGCTCCAGCGTTGGGTCTATCCCATATTGTCCCGCACAGTTTGAAGCACACGGAGTCTGAAGCAAACTGCGTGCGGACAATAACGTTTCCATTTTTGTAACTGTATTCCTGGAAGAGTTAAGGACCTTTTGCACAATGAGAACAATAGATGAATCAAGGCCTTCGTGCTGCATGACGTGGTGGGTGCAGATACAGTGGTAGCACGAATTTTGGGGGGGCTCCACTGGGTGCAGCTCATTCACATCCCTGTGCCTCTGGTTGGGCGTTCGTTGAGGCTGAGGTGCCAAATTTCTTCAGTTCTCATTTGATGTGATGGACACAATGGAGTCTGAATCCTACAGGGTTGAGACCATTACCAAATGAGCCCCTACTTCAGCGTGGGTATTATGTCCTTGATAAAAATCCTGTAGGAAGTAGTTAAGAGAAGTCATTGTCTGAGAGCAAAGGGCAGCGTAATAACAGTTTGTAGACCAAATGGTTTTCCATGTGTGTATTGCTGTAATTACTCATTTAATAAGAACAAATGCACTTAAATTGCCGTATGACCTTTCTTTTCATTGCTTTTCACCCTTCAAATCAGTCAATAACCTAGTTCAGCACGGAGGTGATATTGCAGACCACTCTTCAGGTCTCCAGCTGAAGCCCCTTAGGTTCCCATGTACGAAATCCATACATTCAGTGAAGCAATATGGCTTCCAAAGGGGTGGTAGTGTGCAAAATTAATTATGCATGTAATTTTGACTTTAAGACTTTGAATGCAATATTGGATGTCATTTTTTGTTAAGAATGCCGGATCCGATTTTCAGAGTTTCTTGGCCCCTACAGCTTCTGTTAAAAGGCAGCGAGTTGTTTTGCCCAGCCTACATGTATGATTGGAAACTTGAGATGAAATAATGCATGAGAAAATTTGGAATGGTTATCTGAACTTGCCTCTGTTAGAACAGTAGTTTTAGCAGGATAACAGGAAAATCCCATGCTGATGGTGCTGTAACGTCCCACTGATTTCTGAGTGGAATTTTCTCCAATGCTGCCTGAATGTCTGAAGCTAAGCAAGATATAAAATACAGAAATCACTTTATTCTGCTGGGACAGATGCTTTTCAGATCTGCCTCCAAGAGTCTGCCCATGAGGAGCTTTCATATCTGATCTGTGTTTATAGCTTGCATTTGTTTTGGTCCTTTCAGAATGAATGGCAGCCACTTTAAGGATGAAAAAGCCATGGTAGCCAGCCAGAACTCGGATCTGCTGGATGACGAGGAGGCAGAAGATGAAGTAATGATGGATGAAGAGGACGAAGAGAGCGAAATGGCAGGGAAAGCAGTCAAAGAGCCCGCGACGAGCGACATGCACGAGGGCACTCCTGAGGAGGATTATGAGGAAACGAGTGCTTTGGACATGAACTGCAAAGCTTCCCCTGGCAGGTTGGTCCCTTCCGAGTATTGGTGTGCCCGATAGGTGGAATGAAAACAATAAACCATACAAGAGTGCCAGCACCAAACCGGCTGCCGTGGGAACCGGTCCGGAGCAGCCGCTTCCCACTCACAATAGCAACGTGCGTCTGTGTTTGGGTCAACACCAGCCCTGCTCTCAGCCTCTTCGTGCAGTCTGGAGCCCTTGTTAGGAAAATTGACTGTGCTTGGGGAGCTATTGTGAGGTTCTGGGTGAGACAGGAAGCAGGGTGAGACAGTTCCATGGGAGAGACGTTATCTGCTCCGTGAACCGTCTTGGATCTCTCATAATGGCCTTGTGAAAGGCTGTGGAGACACCATGAGGGAGACAAACTCTCCCTCCCCCACTCGACTGCCCTTTCTTTAGAGCAGAAAAGGGAATTCTTTTTGCTTCAGGATCGCCATTCCGTGAGGCAAGGTGGTTTATGAATGTGAAAAAGGGGGAAGTTGTTCAGATGTGTAAATCTGAGAAGATGAGGGCACGCAGAGAGGATCATTTAATTGACATTTAAAACCTCCATGGTGTTTTTGTAGGTATAAAGAAGAGGAGTATAATAAGACTGGACTTTCAGCTTTGGACCACATAAGGCACTTCACAGATAGCCTCAAAATGAGGAAAATGGAAGAAAATCAATACAGTGAAGCTGAATTGGCAGCTTTCAATGCTTCCCAGCTGCCAGAGGACCTCAAGCAACCATTGTACAGGAAATCCAAATCCCAGGTAAAAGCTTAACTCAGTTAAAATATTACTGTCACCAAATACCCGCAGGATTAAGCTGTTAGTGTGTGGCAGGCAGGATTGTTCTAGCTTTGTCAGACAGGGCTGTGCTCCATGTCCACAAACCTCAGGCTCACCCAACATCCCACTGCACCCTAGAGACATGGCAGGGCACTCTGGTCCCTGAGAACAGAGGATTTCCATACTTTTTTCATACTTTTTTTACTATTTTTGTTCTGCCTGCTGCCCCCAGAAATGCCACGATAAGAGCTAGTCCCACTCTGCTGACACTGGTGCTACAGAGTTTAGCTGCAGCCTCACAGGGATGTGACTTGATCTTCTGGCTGGCTTGGCTTTTTGGTATTTTTTTATAGCCTGATGAATGGTACCACCTCTAGGTCCTCAGCATGTTTTACAAACAGCAATAAATGAAATGGTATCCTCATGCTATTTTTTGCCGTTTTCTAAACATTAACTAATTAAATTGGGTTTTTTAGCCCCTTTGGAAGATTCCTGTTTTAAAAACTGCAGAATATGCATGTAGGAAAGGTCAGCAAAGGAGACTGTTACATTTGGTGAAATACAGGACGAGACAAGGGATAATGTGATTCCTCAGCCTCTTGAAAAGAGACTCCAGTGCCAAGAATCTGAAGGCAAAGGAGACTTGGGACCTTGTCAGCTATTAAAGGTTTCTCTGATCTTTGTGAAACCAGATGAAAGCAGAAATTATTATTACTATTAGTGAGTCAAAAGTGTCTGTGAAAGGGTTGACAGTGGTTTTACCTAAAGCATTTTGTTGGGGCTTTTTTCCTAACTAAGCTGAGCCAGTGGCTGTAGCCTGCCTGTTGCCCTGGCCGCGCACGGATGGCGCGGGTCCAAGCTCAGATCCCCACCCACGGGAGTGTGACCTCCTTGTCCTTCTTCTGTCCCCATCCAGGCCTATGCCATGATGCTCTCTCTCTCCGACAAGGACTCCCTTCATTCTGCATCCCACAGTTCTCCCAACATGTGGCACAGTATGGCGAGAGCCGCCGCGGAATCCAGCGCCATCCAGTCCATCAGCCACGTATGACAGTGCGGAGTCGTTCCGAGGATGGGACCAAGTCCAAACCAGTAGCATGGCTCTTTCATATATGACTATTTAAAAGACTGCTGAGCAGAATGCCTTATAAATCTGCAGGGTCACTCATTTAAAGTCCAGTGACCTTAAACGGAATAATTTTAAAGAAAAAAAAAAGAAAGAAACTATTTATTCTCAATATTTTGTTTTGCACAGCAAAGGCAGCTGCTGACTTCTGGAGGATCAATGCGACTTTAAAAATATAAAAAATAAAAAATTGTTTCAGTGGATTATGTAAATGGGGCCGGGAAAAAGTGTCTTCCAGTTCACCCGGCTTTGAGGGGCAGGGGCAGAAGGGTTAAGACTGCATTGATACACACATGGGCACTCCTTTAAAGTAGGAACTGAATTGATTTTCTTTTTGTATAAGATAGTTTGACATAGGATTGGGAACAGTTGCTTTTATGTACAAATCTCTTCATTAAAGCTTTATGCGTTTTAGCCCTTCAAGGAAAGAAAATAGTTCTATCAAATGCACACTATCCATCGTAAATGTAGAAAGAAGTAACAGGGAATATTTTGTTCTCTCCGTAATTCTTTTACCTTCTCAACTGCATTGTTTAAAAAAAAAGGAAAAACAAGGAGAAAAAAAAAATGGCAGAAAAAGAAAGAACTCTGAAAAACAATACATAAGAGGCTTGTGTATATTGTAAACTATGAATGTTCACTACTCCAAGAAGCTAAATCATCCAGATAATTCAGTGAAAGCACCGCGTTCATCGACAGCACCACTAGTTCGAATCATTGTAAGGAGATTTTTTAATTTTTGACAATCATGTCACTGTTTTGTTGTATTGTTTCCTTTCCCCCTACCCTCTTAATTTCTCCTTTGTGTTGTGTGTACCGTGTATTTATTTGTTGGCAAACGATTGTTTGTTGATTACAATAGCACTGTTCCTGTAACAAACAGCACTGCTCCAGTCCCCCGCTGCGTTACGATGTAAGGCACCCATGTACTTCCAAAAAAGTGAGGTGAACTGATCTGTGTATATGGGAGTGCAAAACAGTGTTTGAAATTTTCTTACATTCCTCTTTTTTTTTTTTTTTGCCTTTTAATGAACTAAATAACTAATAGATGCGACTTAGTTTTGTTCTGTTTTTTTTTTTTTTTTGTAATACAGTAAATTGATTCGATTGTATAAACAGTTATAATTTCTTCATGAAAGCATGATTCTTCTGATTAAAAAAACTGTACCCAATATTTTATGCTGGTTGTCTGCGAGCTTGTGTGATGTTATGTTCATGTTAATCCTATTTGTAAGATGAAGTGTTCCAAATTTATGTTTTAAAAAAATAAATAAATAACGGAAGGTATTCAGTTATTTTTGGGGGTTTTTTTGGCCTTTAGTGAGGGACCAGATTTATTTTTCCTTTTGTTTATAATCTCATTTTGAAATAATCGGCAAGTTGAGGTACTTTCTTTAAATGCTTTGTACAATGTAACTGTTACGCATTTCAGTACATTACTATGGGAGGATCAACTTAAAAAAAAATAATAAAGGACTACAAAACTGAAGGGATCTATTTCCTTTTTGTCTTGGTTTTGTCTGAGTTGGGGCAAAAAAAGGGAGCATTTCCTCTGCAGCAAAGATGGATCTGTGGGGTGATGAGGGCAACCAGAGGATGGGGCACTGGGAGGTGTCTTGGACTTGGCCATGAAATGTGGGACATGAGCCAGAGCCTCTCAATAGACTGACTGTTGGAGGGGTTTAGTTAAGTCCTTTAAGTTTCAAAACACTACCTTGGAAAAGAGGGATATTTAGGTCATTTCACAGAAGAGGTTGGTGCAGTGTCACCTTCAGAGGCGCTTGTGGAGCCCTGAGTTTGAGCTTTGCCAGCCTGCTGCTTGTTGGGAAGAAGGGCTTGGCTGGTGCATAATGAAATATTCACTCACCAGAGTGATCAAAATCCATGGTTGAGGAGCTAAATGAGCCTCCAGCTGCATAAAATGAGCCTTCTAGAGTCTAAAAGGGGAAAAAAAAGAGAGCATTTTAATTTGTGTTCCCTTTGAAATCAGGTCCAAATCCCTGCTTCAGGGCAACCTGTGGAGGAGGGATGTAAGAAAAGACAGCATTTTCCCAGGGAATGCCCATCTTGCTGATCTTCTTATCAGCAGAGATGGAAGGGCTGAGATGCTCCTCTCTCAGCCCATGTCATTGCCCAAAGACCTCTCATAGCTCATAAGATATTTAATTTGAATTTCAGAATAATTTGTATGTGTCATTGTGTCTTCAGCCCAGGTGTGGGCTTGTTTGGTTTGCTCCTTCAGCTTGAGAGCCTTCTGCACGAGTTGGTGGCAAGCTGAGAACCTACACTGGAGTGGTTTTCATGCAGGAAGCCTAAACCCCACCAGGAAAAAAAGTAAATAGATGAAAAAAAAAAAAATATCCCTTGTGCATATTCTTGTACAGCACTGGCCTGAGGCAATGGCCACGTACATGCAGATAATTGCATAAATAGGCCATTATTTTTAGTGCAGTTAAAGTCACTGTGAAACTTGGTTTTAGGTTTCTGCCAAACACAGAGAACAAATAGATTAATCAAGTCAAGTTTTATCTGCAAACAGCTTTCCAGATCGTTTTCCCCTTTAATTTGATGCAATGACAGTTCTTATCAGCTCTGCCCTCACCTGCCCTAGATGAAAGAGGGTTTGGGAGCTGGAGAAAGGGTGGGACAGTGTCCCCTGGGTTTAATGTTCTGGGTTACAGCAGCACACGTGTCACAGACTGTCAGGAAAAGTACTCCTTGAGCCGTGCTCAGGGTTAGTTCAACCTGCCCATAACCAGGTCTGGTGACCATTAGGGAGCGACTGCCACCAATCCTGGGCTGATTTTCCCATTGCTTGTCTGGAACTTGGTGTTTTCCTGTCACAGCGTCCCACCCAGCAGCACTGCCCATGGGGTTTGATGGGCAGAGGGGACAAGGTATTTCTGTAATATCAACAAGTCCTTCAACTCCATGTAGATCCCTGACCATGACCTTGATTTTCACTGCCTTGTCTCAGTACCAGAGTTGTTCGCCCAGAGGAATAGCTGAAAAGCAAACCCAGATTTGATTACTCATCTCATTCCCCAATAAACAAAGAAAACTGGATAATTTTTGTCTTTGTGTCATACCCTCCCCAATGGACCACACAGGTGCAATTGTCCAGATGCAAGCAGATGCTGAGTGAGGATTGATGTTTCTGGCTTCCTACTACAGTGATTTATTTTTTTCTAAGGAAAAAAAAAAAAGTCAATACTTTTCAAAAATCCCTTCAGCTTATTTCAGCATCATCCTACCGTTCAACCCACTGTAGTACTTTTCTGTAAGTCAACAAATCATTCCCATGTGATCCAGCAGCCTTCCTAGATGGAGGAGCTGCACATTACCCTCTCAGTTCCTATCTACAGAACTGAACAAAGCCCCAGCACGACAAGATGATTAATCAATATTTCACCCTGGCCCAGCTCCTCAATACCCCTGTGGGTCTCAGTCGCTGTTCCTGTGTCAGCTGCTGTTTCCAATGGGTACATTTGTGGAGTAATGGCAGGGGAAGTTATTATAAAAGCATTTGCAGGGCTGCTTTTGCTCAGCTATTCAGTTTGGCCCGTTGCTCCACGCATGTTTTGAACTTTAAAACTTTCTGTCAGGCCTCTCACATGTAGAGACTCTGTGAGCTCCTGGATGGCTCCGCTGTGCTCTCTGCCTTCCAGCTATATTTAGTCCCAGTTGTGGTTTTGTTGCTCACTGGTAGAGTGGTGTGGAAAACTCAGTTTTAAAGATGCTTCCAGTAATGATTTAAACAAAACAAAGGTATCCAGCAGCAAACAGAAACCCCTTTTTCCATGTCAAACCCCATGTTCCTTGCCAGGACTCCAGTTAGCAGGAAAATGTTTTCTGCAGCCTGGCCAAAACCACCTTACTCCCATCCATTGACTGGCTCTGTAGGTCTGTGAGTACACCTAGCCTGGGGCTGGCAAGAGCCAAATTAATTCAGCTTCTGTTCCTGTACAGAAAATGGTGCCAGCTTTAGGAGAGGCTCAACTCAAGTTCAGAGTTAGGGAAGTCTGGGGAGTTTGTGAACATCAAATAAAAAGTAAAAAATAAGTACTGTTTACACCTTCTTCTCCATTATTTTTTTTCCTCTGGTTCAGATTTTTTTTGCTGCTAAAGGAAAACAGTTTTCAGCAAAATTATCCCAGAATTTAGATTTTAACAAGACTAACATTTAGAAAATCCCTGGAAAGAGGCCCCACTGCCACACAGTGATCCAGGAACTCATGGAACATCTTGCCAGCCTTTATCCCAAAACCTCTGCCTAAGCTTTGCTTGGGACTGGTTGCCCCACTAGGAATGAACACAAACCAGACTGAACACAGATCCTTTTGCAAGATGGAAGCAAAGCCTGCTTTCTTTGATCCAAGAGGGTGCACATTTTAAAGGCAATTGAAGCTATTTATATCTATAAATCCGTTTGGGGAACCTTTTATTATGGAAGGTGCCGTGGAAATATGAAAGTATTGTGGTACAATGAGCTTTAGCAGTCTAAGCGGGGGGTCTGAGAGGAGTCACCTCCAGCAGGCACTTGCCTTTTCCCTGCTTTATTTTAATACTAATTAATTCCAGAAAAGCTGGAGAAACTTGATGAAATGCTACACTTCTAAGAAAAAGTTTTGCCCAAGAGTCTTCAAGCAGGCCTCCCAGCTTGGGAGGGTCTAGTGGGACAAGAGGGTTAGTGGTGATTTTGATGCTTAAATTATCAGTAATTAAGAAGTTGATTTTCGGGGATTGAAGAAAATTTTAAACAGCTGCTTCTTGCGGGCCTTTTACTCCTCATTTTCATTAGCATGTGCTAAGGCAATCTGGAAAATATATTTAGATCCATATTATGCTATGTCAAGACCTCAGCATCTGTACCTTGGGGCAGATACATGTGAGATAGCCGAGGGTGGATGTGCCAGCACGCACATGTGGAAGCGTTCAATTTGTAATATGATTACAGCCCCAGCACAAAGCCCGCTTGATACCTGTGGCAGGCTTGTTTCATGGTAAGCTCAGAAAACTCTCCAAGATCATGTCGTGTTTCACATCAGCAGCCAACTCAAACCAGAGGAGTAGCGCTTTAATTCCTGGGGAATCTCTTTCAACAGGCGCGTGTCAGCCCCAATTAAGGTCCAGGCTAATTGGGGGGAGGTATTCAGAGGGGTAACGTGGTCCTGCAGCAAAGCAGCCCCTTTGTCCAGGCCATGCCAGCCAGTCTGCCTTCCCAAGGGCGGCCACTGGAGGAACTCCTGCTAGAAAAGCTCCTGGGAAAGCTCACAAGGGGAGGGAGAGATTTCACTGCGGGTAAGAGAGCTCAGGGTGCTCAGCAGCAGCTCACTGTGGGGTCTCCTGCTTTAAAGCTGCCATCAAAAGAGAGAAAGGTGATGAGCTGCCTTCTCCACACACAAAGTGCAAGCCTGACCTCAGCATCCTCCAAGGATCCTATCTCATCTCATCGCATCTCATCCACACATCTTTCTCCGCTCCCAAAATAACTCAAGTTTTTTTGACATCTGAAGTGTTGATACATTAGAAAAAAAGATTTAAAATTCAGGCATGAGTTGAGATGTTAAAATTAATTTAAACATTCAACCTCTCCTGAATTTCAGAGGGATTTATGTGAAAATCTCAGCAGACTCTGTATCAGGTTATCCATAATCCAATTTTTAATCCATTTACTGTCCATAATCCAATTTTTACTTATTATTTGATGTTCACCATCTCCCCAGACTTCCCTAAAACATTGGAGGACAAAACCTAATGGTCTAATTCAAAACTGATTCCTACAAATATTTGAAGGATTTTGATCTTCCTAATTAAGGAAGCACATGTTTTACTGTACCCAAATGTTTCATAGAGTCATACAATAATTTGGACTAGAGGGGACCTTTAAAGACCATCCAGTTCCAACCCAACCATGCCGTGGGCTGGGACACCTTCCACAACCTGGCCTTGGACACTTCCAGGGCCAGGGCAGCCACAGCTTCTCTGGGCAACCAGAGTGCCTCACCACCCAGATTGTAAAAAATTCTCCTTTATGTCTAGTCTAAATAGATCTTCTTTTAGCTTAAAATTCCTTGTCCAGTTGAACAAGCCCCATTAGAATCTGTCCCCTGCCCCTGTGGCCTGTTGGGCACCAGTCTGCTGGGTCTTCTCTTGAATTCATCTCTCATCTGAGCATGGCCAGGATTATTTTCTAGCACCCAGCCTTGGGCTCAAGTCTTAAGGGAGGAAAATCTTTGCCAGTCTCAGACTAATGAGAGGTTGACATGCCTACCCTTCCTCAGGAGGCCCTCCCAGAGGTGTGAGGTCCAGTCAGCTGCAATCACACTGGTGTAATAGAAGTTTGGTTCAGAAGGATCCACAGCCCCTCTGCTCGGTGCAACCACAAGCCACAAAACACTTTGCAATCCACTGTAATGAAGGAGAGACCTTTATTACATTTAGACTTGATTCCCTGGTACTCCCTGGAAGCAGTTCTACTGTTTTT